TGAAAAGTATAATTACATACCAGTAAGATTCATGTGACCAAAAAGTAGAGACTTTGACCCAAAATATAAGAAATATGATTAAGTGAAGCTAAATGCCTCTTAGGTTTCTACCTTCACCTATGCCCTACCTTTCGTTTAGCAGTAGTTTAGTTGAGGTCCTAAAACAATAACAGCACAATTCCGGCTAAGATAGTTGCAAGTATTTTTTAAGACAATTGAAAGACAGTAGGCAAGATAGTTTGGAAGATTTTGTTTATTCTGGCACGAAAGTCTTACAAAAAAAGCTTCCATGCCAACTTTCGTAGTGAAAAGCTCCTCTGTCCAAAAACACATGCACACCATTTTGCTCGGGCTGCTCCGACAATCGTAAAGCACTGGCGTGCCATTCGAGCGTTCCAAGGATTGCATCCGCCAGAAGCGAATTTTTTCTTTTTCAATTTAATTTTCTTTCAACTTTGAGATGTTATTGTTAAAAAAAGTATATGTATCTATATACATATGTTTTATTTTTATTTTATTTTTATAAACTTATATTATGTACGTTTTACTTTTTTAATTTTATTTCTCTTTTCTTTTTTATTTAAAATTTCTCGGAATTTTAAATTTTATTGTTTTAAATAATTTTTTTTTATTCAATTCGTAGGAACTTATTTCATTTTATTTAGTTTCAATTATTTAGGAACTTATTTTTAGGAACTTATTTGATTTTTTTTATTTTGTTCTTTAAATTTTTTGAATTGTTTATTTAAAAAACTCTTAATTTTAATTTGATTTAATACTTTTTTTAATTTTTGTTTATTTCATTTTTTTTTATTCAAATCGCTTTCAATTTTTAGTTTTTATTGTTCTAAATAGAAAAATATACATATTTTTTTTNCTTNAATTTAATTTTTAGAAAACTAATTGCTAAAAGACAAACAGAGTAACGGTTGCCAGAAAGACTTTTGTCTTTCGATAGATTGTGGTGAGTTGAAACACAGCTGGCCTGCAAATCTAACTTCAAAGATTTAGCGAAAATTGCTCGGGTTAGCCATGTCGTATAAGTAACCTTATTTTAATATTGCTTATAGAAAAAATGCGAAATATTATCATCTGGATCACGTGATTACTGGAGAATACCATTTCGTTGTAAAATTAAAATATTAGCAAAACTCATTTTATATCGCATATATGTATGTACATCGGGTCTTTTCTAGACTCAATTCGAATACTAATTTAGCTGTATTGGTTTAAAGATAGTAAGACTAATATAAAAAGTTCTAAGTTTTTTCAGACAACAATTCATTTATTTTCATTCAGTTTTATCATTTTTAAAGGTATTTTAAAATTCGATTCTTATTGCTTAAATTTTTATTGTATATAAATTATTCATTTTTTAATCGCTGCTTTTTCTGTTATCAGTAGCGGAATTTTTTATATATCTGTATCGACATTGTAGCTAAAAGTAGTAGACCTTCATATTTCGTACGAATTTTGTAGTATTCGTTCAGACCTAACCAGACGCAAAACGCTAAAAGGAAACGCTGTAGGAATATCTGACTTAAATAGTATGCGTATGTATGTATGATATGTACATATGTTTTATGGTTATCAAATTTCACACCCCGAATGTGCATAAAAGATAAATAGGCAAGCGCTTTTAGAAATTTCGGGAAAGCGTGACTTAAAATGTCCATACATATTTATTACCTATTTGTAAATGTTGGTGCATGCTTCTATATAAATTTATGCAATCTAAAATCGATAACAATCGATAGGCGCAATGCAATTTACATATGTACATACATATGTATGGCCACATACATACGCACGGGCTTTCAAATCTATACCTTAATCAATGTATTTTTAATTTTGGTTTTATCACCTCATCTTCAAGTTGCCTAACGTTTCTTTTTTTTCTTCTTTATTATCTCTCCACTTGCTGCTACTTATACGACTATTCAAACTAATTTATTCATCCATCTTTCATTGGCATCAATTAATTTATGCTAATTTATTTGTCATTTCTAGTTTTTTCCTGAATTTTGTCGCGTGTCAAACTCATTTACGCTGGTTTTTTTTCAACAACTTTTAATAAATGGAAAAATTGGTGCAGACTGGCACGAAATTTACAATATTTAGAAGTGTGAAAATTTATTCAACGAAACAGTTATGCGGTCAACCTATTTGTCAAGTACATTGGCCTGCGGCAGAAGCTGAAGCAGAAGCAAGCGGAAAGTGGTTCCGGTTGAAATAGTTAATGCTTAGTCGAAGGTTTTGCGTATAAAAGGTTGAGCTATTTTTTCTGGAAGTTCGTGATTTCTAAATCGATTTAGCTAGTTTATATAATACATATATTAGTATGTATGTAGATATATAAATAGCCTCAAAATCGAAGTCGTATAAGTGCAAAGAACTGAAAAAATTTGCATAATTTTTGAATTTTCTACTAAACCTTTTTTTTCTAAAAAAAAGGTAGGTCTACAAAGCCTAACATTTTTTTTTTTATTGACGGTAATGGTAATGATAATGATTATAGCTATGGTAGCGGTTATAGTTATCGTAATGGTAATGGTAAATGTTAATAGTAGCGGTAGTGGTAATGGAATTGGCAGTGAAAGTGATAACGGTAATTATTATGGTTATGGGACTGTTAATAGTAATGATAATGGTAATGGTAATTGTAATTGAAATGGTAATCGTAATGGTAATAGTAACAGAAATGGTAATAACAATGGTTCTGGTAATAGTAGTAGTAATAAGAATGGTAACGGTTATGGTAATGAAAGTGGTAGTGGTAATGGTAATGGTAATGAAATTGGTGATGGTAATGGTAATCGTTGTGGTAATGACAATGTTAATATTAATGGTAAAGGTGATAGTAATGAAATAGCGAAAAAGTTTTTCGCCAGCTTGTGGAGGTTACACACCATTTCGTTCGGGGAGATACGGGTGGAGAGAGTAACAAAATAGCCAATGAGCTATTAACGAATTAAAAGAGAGGTAACAAGTTTCCTCTCCTAATGTGTGCAAATTTACACTTCATGTGGAGCAAAATTACGCATAATATGTTTAAAATTGATTAAATAAGAGCACTTATTATTTTTCATTAGTAGAAATGTATTTTAACGTTCAAATGTTTTCCCAAAAGCTAGAGATGATTTTTAGGGCTATAAAGAAAAAATTTGCGTATACGAAAAATTAAAGAAAAAAAATTATGGAAATTTGGAATTAAAAACTAAAAATTTTTGGCAACATTTTTTTATACAAACTGATCTTAAAAAAAATTTTAAGGCGAAATATGAATTTTTGAACTTGAAAGAAACTATTATAAATTTAGGGTTTGCAAAACAATTTTTTTTCCCAAAAAAAGCCCATCTTCGAAATTTCAGGATCGGTTAGAATCAGTTAGAGGTTTGTATAAAAAATGAAGCAACAAATTTATATAAGTTCTTGCTTTTACGACTTTTTAAGTTTAAAAATTCTGTAAGTTTTGAAATTATTTTAATATATTTTTCGAATATAGCCCTAAATATCACCTTTAAAACGAGACCAGAATAATTTTTGTAACTATTAAGTTTTTGAGACATTTATAACTTGCAAAATCCGGGAACTTTTAAAATTTCAAAAATATTTTTTTAATTATCTTTCCTTTGGCAGAACTTTGTTGATGATAAAAGAAATGTTTTGACCAAAATTCATACTTCCATTTTATTTTCAAAGGTCCTTAAAAGTTCAAGGGTTTTTTAAGATTTGAATTTGTGAAATTTGAAAACAATTTTATTAATTAAAAGTTTTGTATTTAATTTACATTTATTTTAAATATAGATTTTGCAAGAAAAATTCTCACAATTCAAAAATTCTTGTCTTAAAAAAACCCACAATTTCAGGATCCGTTAGAGGTATTGTATAAAAAAATGTGTGTCAAAAATGTATTTAATTTTTTGCTTATACGACTTTTTAAGTTCCAAATTCAAATTGTTTTAACATATTTTTTTAATAAAACCCCAAATTTCAGCTTTAAAATGAGACCAGGACCATTGTTGTAACTGTTATACATAATTCGTTGGTCGATTTGACATGGATTAAACTATGTACATACATATATCCAAACTTATTTATGCAAATAAAAACAATTTGACTCACCTTCTTCCCTGTATATGAATGTCTTTCCAGTATTCAATGCCGTGCTGCGTTCACTCAGACATGCAGAGTATCCAAAAATTTCTTAATCTCTTAATTCATAGTGTAAATTCGTTAGTCGCGTTTAAATTCGAATTAAACAAAAAAAATCGTTATGTGCAAATTTAATAAATATCAAACAAATTGACACAATTCAGCTCGAATCGACACAACGCGAATTTAATGCAATTAACAACATTAGCAACACTGTGCTGATTGTGTTCTTGATTTGCGCAAACAGCAGCATACACTTCATTTTGAAAATTTCACACATTCGTTTGAATAATTCGAGTTTGCAAAACTGGCTTAATCAAGGCTCGATAATGGAGAAATTAAAACGAAACCAATTAACACTGCGCGTTCGAAGAAAAATTTACTACGCAGCACCGTTATAACTAGTAATAAATTTATGTTGTTATTTTCGAAAATTAAAATATTTTTTATTAAAAAGAGTGCTTTTTTTTTCTTCGCACAATAGCTGATTCACGCTGCTGATGTTCGCCGTCAATGGCACTTTGACATTTGGCGAGCGCGCACTTACACAAAGAAATACATATATAGGTATAGGTATACAAGATCGAGACACTTGACAATGTGACAGCCGCTTGACAGCGTGGCTAAATGGTGACAGCAGTTGCTGAATGTGAAATCAATTGAACTTTTAAATTTATTGCCTCATTCATTTACCACTGAAATACATCTGTTTGTATGTAGATATGTATTCATGTACTTATGTAGTATGTACTTAGTTGCTGCGGTGTAAACACACTTGTGTATTTATTGATGCACTAGTATGTATATTTAATTAATATTTTTTATTATTATTTTTTTATTTTTTTTTGTTGCTGCTCTACTGCACTTCGACCACAGCCAACCACAAAATGGGGGTATTCACAATTTAACACTGCAATGGAAGGAGTGATAAAAATTATTATTATTACTTTTAATTAGTAGTCATCGAAATAAGTTAAATGCAATAATAAATAAATATTTATATTTTCATATTTTTCTGCTAAAAAACTTTTTTGACTAAATACACAAACGAAGGCGATTCTAAAATAATAAATAATAATTTTGAAGCTAGTGGCCACCTATTCAAAATGTGGAAATCAATTTAATTAACGAGCGAATGAATTATCTTTATCTGGGTATTGAATGAGAGAGGTTTGAGAAAGCTGTATTTCGAAAGATCAAAATTTCCTTTTTGATGCAGAAATGTTTATAGATAACCTAGATGCTCGATATTCTAAAATTTCGTTTTAATTATCATTTAACTTTTTAAGCAGGTGGCAACTCTCTTCAAAAAAATATGATATATCTAAATCCAGCTATCTATATGCTGAACTTATAAAAAGTAGGATTTTATTTCAGTTGTTAATTAAGTTGGTTTTAAAATTCCTATGACGGTGGCAACCCCTTTAAAAATATTTTTGAAATAAAACTTTCGTAAGCCTATCTCAATTAATGCCCATATTGAAATATTTCGTTCAACTTGTTAATTTATTGATTTTAACTTTTTGAACAGGTGGCAACCGTCCTAAAGAATATTTTTGGAACAAATCATATTTTAACCCCTTTTTTTGACAGCACCATTGTGCTCATATCAACTTATTAGTTAATCGATTTTAACTTTTTAACAGGTGGCAACCCCTTTAAAGAATGCTTTCGGAATGAATCGTTTTGGAACCTCTTTTTCGTTTGATGTCCACATTATTGTAACATATTATTTAACTTATAAATTAATTGATTTTAGCTTTTCCAAAAGGTGGCAACTCTCTTCAAAAAATATCCTATATTTATTGGGTATTCCTTTTCCGGGAAAGTTTAAAGTCTACGGTTTTTCCTTTCCCGATAATTTCAGATTTGGTAATTTGAGATTTTGGGCCATTGAATGATGGAATTGGAAAGATGTCTATATAATCGATATCGTTTCAGGATTAGAACTGGTTGAGCTTTTAAGATGTTTTCTTTCATGTGGTTGTTGTTGTGTCTTACTCTCTGTTAGAGCAACTGAAAGAAGTTCTGAACGCCTTTGGTTGATAACTCAAGTTTAACTTTAGTTCCGAACTAGAACAATGGAGTCCGCCTCGTTGAGTGCAAATTGTAGTATCTCACTAACGCTCGATATGAAATTCCCTACCCCCATGATTGACTCAGACATGAACCCTGATAGCTTTCGACGTAGTGCGAAAGGAAATTCGTTCAGTACAAGGTTCCTTAAAATAGGAGATAGAACCCTGCCCTAAGTGGTCACGTGTACCCCGTACAGCCGTTTTCCTTACTTCAGCTTAGTTCCTAAGGCTGCGGGCACGCAATGAGCGGCTGAACGGCGAGTGAGTGAAAATTAAAACATATAAAATACCATTGATGTGACCACACGATGATCGACTTGTGAGCGGCATTTCTGAGCGGTTTAGCGACGCCACTCATGGCGTGGCTGCAGCCCTAAGACGTAAGCTGAAGTAGGGAAAACAGGGTATATACAGTTAGGGGCGTTGAGATGGTCCTGAGGCAATATATGCAGAAGTTACATATATGTATGAATCGTTGGGTACCCACTGAATGCTCGCAGACTAACAAAATGTTTGTTGAAAAAGTCGCCTAAAAAGTTTTTATTCCAAAGAACAGATTTATTACTCGCTTCAGGACTATACACTGCACCCAGTCCAATATGTCGAATACATTTTAAATAGTATATTACGTATAGTTATTAGTTAAAAATGTATCACCTCGAAACATGGACTAAACATTTGCCCCTTAAATGAGCTTCAACAAAGTACAAAAGTTTCAGGTACATTTTTTCTAGTCAAACGTGTAAGCAGTGTACTATTTATTGCCAGTAATAAAAATTTAATTGAAATAAAAACGATTGTGCAACAAACAACTAGCTGGAGTACCTTTGCATTTATATCTATTTACAATATTAATTATACAATGTAAATATTGCGAATACCAAAGCAATTTATGACATTCCTCGTTTAATGTGCTGGGCCACCATGATTTATCGACTTGCCTGCTGTCAAGTCGTCTTAAATCGCCACAATTGGAAGCCAGCGCTAAGCTGGGGCTTAATAGATTGGCGCGTTTTGCACTCGTAAATGTCATTAGGAATTCCAGCATGCAATGCCCGCCATTTAGTGCCCGCAATCCCTTCGCAAACCACGGCGTTAGCCCAACTAAATCGAATAGTAATAAAAAAATAATTATTCAATTAGATTAATAGTGAAATAAATTTAAAAATTTATTACTCTGTCAAGTCGGCATTAAAGGCAATAGTTAGAAGGCTAGAAAAATTAAAGGAGACCACAGAGAGAGAGAGAGAGAGAGAGAGACGGGCAAAGCGCGCGAGAGTTCTAATGAAAGCGAGATAGTCGCATGCCAAAGCGCCTAGCTGACTGTACTGTTGTTGGCTAAGCGAGAAATTTTATTATCATAAAAAACACGACACCACCTAGTGGCACACAACCTTTGTTGGGATCGTATAAAACAAACAGTTCCAAGCTCTGTTCCTCATAAATATTCAACCACAATGCAGATTAATTTTATTTGTGTTTTTTTTCTCATTTGCTTGGTTGACTTCGTCGCACCCATATTTTTTTCACTATAACTACATTCGAATACAGTAGGGATTACTTTAATAATACTATATGGTGGTGGCGCATAAAATCGTTGACAATTACCCGCTTAATTGTTTTGAAATAATTGAGTTGAGAGGTGTTGGTGGTGAAAATTGGTTGTCTCATTAAATGATTGAACAAGCTGCAAGTGTTGGAAAGTTTAAAAGTCATAATAAATTTATGCAAATTTAGCTAGAACAAAGTGAGTCATTCACTTACCGGGCTGCTGTTCACTACACTATGATTGTGCGAGGAACTTTGCAACAGCAAGCAACATTATTTGGCTTAGTTCAAGTTAGGTTAAACAGGTTCAAACAGGTTCAAACTGGTCCGCTTTAGTACCACAAAGCCTTGAACGAAAACGTTTGCTCTATTGGGGTAAGCCATACTTGCCTTGCTGCATATAAAATTCGTCTTATCTTCGTATTCGTCTTCGTCCTCCTATTCGTATTCGACACCGACCTCGTTTTCGTATTCCTCTTAGCATTCGCCTTGATATTCATGTTCGTATAAGTCTTTGTATTTGTATTGATCTTCGTATTCGTCTTCGAATTCGTATTCGTAATTGTTTTCTGACTAGCCCTTACATTCTTCTTCGTATTAAAAAATCATTTTCATTTTAGTTTTAATATAAATGAAAACCCTAAATCTGTTTCAAAGAATAACAAACAGCACCGATTAGTTTCAAAAAAGCTCCAAAGAAACTCAAAAAATAATAATAATGAAACAACATAAAATCACAAATATCACAATAATCGAAAAAATTCCTAAAAATACAAGAAATACTAAAATTTTAAAAACTAAAGAGTCTAGAACACACAACACATATCGAAGCTTGAAAAAACTCTCAAAAATCTAAGAAATTCTAGAAAAAAGTCTCGAAAAACTTTGAAAATAGTTCTATCATATAAAGAATATTAAAAAAAAAATTTTAATTAAAAATTTCAAATGTCTCGAACAATAAAGTAAAGTTCTGAAAACCACCAAAAAATATCAAAATAAAAACCCTAAAAGTTTTTCAAAGAATTCCACAAGCTCCGAATATTTCCGAAAAAATTATAAAAAAAAAGTAGAACAACCGAAAAATCGTAAGAGTACAAAATATCGAAAATCTCTAAAATGTATACCAAAAATTTCTAAAAAAAATCGCTAGAAAAAGATAGCTCGTACTTTTGTTTTATGGGATACTAAAGTTTTCATGTCCTAAGTAGTTTCAAAAAAGTGGAAAAGTTTTTAAAATAAACGTCTGAGCGAAATTAAAGGTTAAAATATATATCATAAAAATTCATGGGAACTCGGCTAAAAGGGTAATTTTGTCCCTTACTTCAAGAAACCCTGCAAAAAGCAAATTTGGAAGGTCGTTAGAGGATTGATATATTGTAGAAAATTTTTCTGTGGAAAATTTTACTAGGGGTCTTCTCATGCCACCAACGTAAAACCCTGTAAAAAATTAAAATAAAAAATCAGCAAAAAAATCTTGGCTTTTTCCACAATATTTTTTTTCTTTTTAATTGAGTTTGGCTGTTATTCCTTTTTGGCATAGATTTTTTATTTTAATTTAATAGAGACCGTTACTTTGGGTCTCACAAATCGAAAAAGGTCCCGTCAAGCTCAGCAAATAAACTACACCGAGAGGGAAAGAATATGTCCGAGAATTTTTCAGAGGAAAAAAAGTGAAATAATCTCAGAAACTACCAAAATCACACAAAAATCCCGAAAGTGTCTAAAAATCATTCCCAGAAATTAATAAATAAAAAATTAATTTAGGTTCGAAAAAATATTTTATTGACACAAAATTCTGAAAAAAAGCCCGCAACAATGGTTTCATTGCATAGAAAAAGGCAGCGATTTGTTTCCAATTAACTCCAAAAAGGTATAACGTAGTCCCAAGGAACACTTCCGAAAAAGCTCCGAAGAGTTAAAAAAGAAATATCACAAAAAATCTTGAAACTATCTGCAAATTACACAAAAAAATTTAAATTCAGAACATACCAAAAAACTATAAAAAAAATAGTAAATTTTTTGGAAATGCACAAAAAACACTAAAAAACTAAAAATAAAAAGTGGTATAATCTCTAAAACTCCCCAATATCGAAAGTACCTGGAAATCACACAAAAAATCTCAAATTGAAAATATACAAAAAACCTCTAAAAATAGTAAAATAACAAAAAGAGAGTTCCGGATACATTCCCAGAAAGTTCCATAGAATCTAAAAAATTCTGAAAGAGTTCGGGAAGTTCAGAAACAATTTCGAAAAGTAACCACACAAATTCCAACAAAAAAAAATACTGAAAAGTTCCAAAATATCGTAAATAGTCCGAAAAAAACTGCTTGAGAGTCCAACAGAGTCTCACAAAGCCAAAAGATTCCCTAAAAAAAATTTCAAATCATTGAAAATATTTTTTAGTGGACTTGCCAAATAAAAACTTTGCAGGATTTTGCTTAACTTTTTTATTCCAAAAATAAGTTCTTGAAAGAGATGTTTAATAAATTCAAACATAAATATTAAAATACCATCAGAAAATAAAAATAAAAAGTTTTTTTTTTGCAATTGTATAAATAATTTCGCTCGACCCACCTCTTGTAATTTAGTTAAAATCCACAAATCCTTCGGCTGCAACGACAACAATTTCCAAACGAATGATGTGATGAAAATTGCATCCATTATCACATAAACGCATTCAAATCATTTCGTAGAATTTAAGGCACACTTGCAACATTTAAATGCTCACATGCATGCATTGATACATACATATATACAATTATCAGTAGGCAGTTGCACTTACATAAAAACAAAGAAAAGTAGTTTTTTATTTCGAATTGGATTTCGAAATAAGCGACCAATACACGTCGTATATTTGCATTGATGCAAGTACTTGTAAACATTTACTGATTACGATGCAAAAAGTCGTCGTGCGCAAATTTCTATTTTTTTTTATTTTTTTTTTTTATTTACTTATTTTTTCATCAATGTGTTTAATTGCCGCGCTATGGAAGAAAAATAAGCATAAAACTAAAAAATGATTAGATACCTAGTTGATTTTAATTTGATTGTATAATTTTTTTATGGCACTTCACTTAACAAAATTTCAGCAGCATTCCACACAATTATGCAGGCATTTATTTAATTTGTCAAGAAATTCACAATGAATTTTTTTTTTTTAAGTTTAGTAAGATTTGTTTTGCACTGCTTTGTTTAAATCCGCAGATATATATATAGAGAAAAAAAAACAACAAGAACAGCCAACAAAATGAGCGCTGCAAAATGTTGTATTTCCTTATTTTGCACAACGTTGACGAATGATTACATATCAATTAAAAGCGAATTGCAAATACCCAGCACGCTTCGAACTAATGATCGATAGTAAGGCACAAATGCGAGTGCAATGGCGGCGCGCATGCAAGCGAAGAAAACAAAAACAAAAATAAGTAGCAAAAGAAAAATTTTGAAAAGTAGGAAAAACAACACAAACACGAAAAAAAATTATTAAAGCAAAAGAATGCTCAAAAAATGTTTCACTTTAAAAGAGAAAAAAAAAGAAATTACAAAAAAAAAATTTTTTTAATTTTTAAAGAAATTTATTTTATTTACATTTATTTGCACGATAATTATATTTTTTAGAGTATTTACTGCGATTAACGTTTTTGCTTTGCGAAATAACGCAACGAAACGTTTAAGATCGAATTCAAACTGACGCAGAGGATTGTGATCTCGCTCGAATGGCGGCGCTATATGCATGAGCAAGCTAAGCGAGGCGCATAAGCGTGATAGTGAGCTAGCGGAGGCGTCAGCTGTATAGAGCGGCGCTTAGTTAGTTGCGCAGCAGCGCGGCAAGATCGTGCGCGCGCTGTGTGAACAACGGAGACAGCACAGCAGGGGCAATGAGCGCGCCGAAACACAACTCGACAGTGCGCTCGCTAAGCGTATTTTGTGCAGCGCGCCACCACCATCTTCAACGCTGCCTTGGTGCGCGCGCCGCGAGCGACTCTAAGCTGCAGCAACGCGTGCTTTTCTATGTATGAGTGCTAGATATGTGACAGCCAGATGTCGCGCGCACAAATGCGTGTGTCATGTTGTGTACGCGCATGTACATATGTATGTGTTAGCGCGCTCGCTTGGTCGACAGCGCGTATACGAAACGCAATGGCGAGCGAAATATATGCGCGCTTGTGTACTAGTCACAACCACAAAGTATGCGAAATTGATACGCGCTTTGAGGCGCCGCGCCTGAGATATCGATATGCGGAGAGCATGTGTGTGTGTAGTGATCTTGTGACCTTTGCATATGCAGTTTTTTTTTTTTGCTTTTTGTTTACTTTAAACCGCAGATTAAAACCGTTACGAGGCGAATTGCACAACAATGAAGCAGCGCAGCGCTTCAACGAAGTTCAAATGCAGATCAACACTTAACCTAAATTGGTTAAACAGTTTTGGGTGGTTGACAATTAGAGGAGATTACGAACTACGAGCGCTGAAAAGATATCACGATTTTGGTAATGTACTTGTTTTTTTGTTTTGCTGCAGAGCAGAGCGAAGTGTACAACCGCGTTTTGTCGCGCCGCGCTTACAACGACTGCCTTAGTTCTTGATTATAACTCTTATTTCATTTCAATTTCTTTCTGTTCCCAACATTTTTTCAATCACTGTTATCGTTTCAATTTTTTCTCTCCTTTTCTTTGTTTCTTTCTTAAAGCGCTTAAAAGTTTTAACACTCTTTGCGCGCGCGCTATTCATGTCGCGCGCGTCGGTCAATGCAAGCGACAACTAATTAAAACCTTGCGCTGTGACTTGTCAGTCTGCGAATGCTAATCAGCGCGTCAATACCATTGCAGCTTTCTTTAATAAGAGCACTTTAAAATAAATATGTAACAACAAATGCCGAGTAGTGGGAGCGTGGTTTCGAGCGAGGGAGCGCGCACGCACGCTTTCGCCATACACAGCACAAAAATAAGCATTCTACATGAGCTGCGCGCTCTGCAGCCTAAGCTTCTCTCTCTTCATTTTTATCACTTTCGTCGCAAAGTCTATTTCATTGGCCTTCTTCCTCGCCCTGTTTTCCTTCTTCCCCTTCTCCATTGTTTATTCGTTTTTTATTAATTAACCCGCAATATTTAACTACATTTTTTAGCATTGTCCTAATTGTGTGTGTGTGTGTGTGTGTGTGTGTGTATGTGTGTGTTTGTGTGTGTGCGGTGCTCTTAACGTGCTATCGACTGTGTGATCACGATCACCTTCATCGTGATCGCTTTTGTGGAATCTTTGGTATATTGAAAATTTATATTAATACACCTGCGCCACCGCCTTTTGACTTGAGTGGCTTAAGATATTCTACTAGCGCATACTTTTTGCTGAGCGCATCAAAAATCACAGTACTGTGGAAACCGTTTGTCCATATCATTCCATTTATCATGGATCAATTTAAGGAAACTTGTTGTTGCGCATGCGCATGCCGAATTAATTTTTCGGCTACTTACAATCTGCTTAGTAGCATAGCGTTAAGACCTAAACTCGATTTTGTTTAATACGTTGCGATCACTGCTGCCTTTGTTGTGCTGATATTACACACATACACGTACATTATTAGCACCTCAATAGCTTCATCCATCTGTTGTCTACTCTCCTAACAACCAAATCGTTGCTTCTATAACTATTAAGTACGTTAGCCGACCGGCTGAGCGCAATAAACCGACTTTGTTTTCAGATTCATATAACTGCTTCGTTGGCGTTCTTTGGTGCCTTCTTATATATAGTAAAAATCTTTTTTTCTAGTTACATACTTACAATAGTCGACACGACTGGTTTTAACGCTTGTCTACTTGTCATATGCGTATAGCTGTGAATTATAAAGCGTTTACGCCAGTACGTCCGCGTATATGGCTCACGACGATTATGGGAAACCACCCCGCCACAGCTATTGCAAGAGGCCCTTAGGTTGGCGCTTATAGGTGAGTCACATTTTAGCGAATCTCAACGTTTGCCAGGCTCGAGGTCCGTGACCTTCCCCGTCGTCTTTTCTTTTCTGATGCCCCTTATTTCCGACTAGAGATTGCTTGATGGCCAATTCTTTTCATCTACGTAATCTGGGTCTTCGGCAGGGATTAGTATAATCTTCAAAGGACTCCAAACGCTGCTTTGCTCAGCCTTACTTCCATATGAAATCTCAGGAGAACTCATCCCTGCTATTTAATATCCGATAACTCTCAGAAACTCGCCAAAATCAGATCGCAGTATATGGTTGTAAAACGGAAGTTTTCTCATACGTTCCGAAAACTTTGACTCGATCAAAGTAGACTTATAACTACTGAACGAGCTCCTCGTTGCCTGTGACCTCAATGACGAGCATGACCTGAAAGTGAACACTGGCTTCCTCGTGGTACCGGCGTGTCGTCTATGGTGCTTACATATCACTGGAGAAAATAACCTGCGTTGTAGATTTATCTTTCGACCTATTCCTTTTGACGACCTCTGTTGTTTGATTTGGTCTCAAAGTAAAGCAAGAAGTGGTAGTGTCATGTCATCGGCTGAATGCCAAGTATGCAAGCTATAAGTGGACTAATTGTGACACCGTAAAAGAGACTCCTTGTTTTCTTACTTTCCCTAGAAATGAAACCACCAAATCTCACAAAATCATAGGCTGGCATGCAGGAGGATTAAATACATTGTCAAAATGGAAAGACACCAGATTCGGTCGCACCAACATACTAACCAACTAGCCCGACACGTTTAGGTCCCCAGATTACACAATACCACCGATGGAACTCAAGAACAAATTACCCACTCCTATGCCTTCGAGGCAGGACTGGGAGGACGACTCGGTCTAGGACCTCCAAGACGACTCCACACGGATGGCTCTAAACTAAATCTAAGAGTAGGCAGTGGGATACACTCCAATAACCTCTCAATAGACCTCTGCTTTAGGCTACCAGACTGCTGCAGTGTATTCAAAGCAGAGCTTGCGGTCGTAAAGTAGGCTGCACTCTGGCTTATCGTATCTAATCTTAATCTGCCTTCAGTAACTATATTCTCCGGCAGCCAGGCTGGTAGTAAGTTAGTGGATTGCTGAGAGATCTCGTCAATAACTGTAACAGAGTGTAGGAATGTCCTTAACGATTTAGCTCCTAAGCCTACTACTCACATTGTGTTATACCGTTGTCTACCTGCAAGACAAGTGTAGGAAGGTCCTTAACGATTTAGCTTCTAAGTCTACTACTCACATTGTGTGGGTACCAAACGACAGAGACATTCAAGGTAAAAATGCAACAGGCGAGCATGCCAGGAAGGGTATCACTTTGTCTGACGTCAACTCCTCACATACAGCAGGCATACCGTTATCGTCGAGTAGGCAAATAAGAGGTGGTCGGAAGAAGGCACGTGTGGGACGACTCGACAAATCTGGTCCAGCCTTGGCAAGAAAAGGTACGACGGTCTCATTCGGTTAGAATGGCCTCTACTATGGCTAGTAACCGGTATTATTACGGGCCACTGCTTAATGGAAAGGCATGCTAGCAGAATGGGTTTGGCGGCCAATAACTTCGGCCGTAGTTGCCGTGACGTGAAAGAAATCGAGAGTGTGGAACACTACCTCTGTCACTGTCCTGCCCTTTTGTGGGCGAGAAGAAGCTCATGTAACCACCACCTTTTCGTCCGTCTGGCCGATCTAAGTGAAGGTATTCACGAATTCGTTCGCTTTCTGCAACTAATCTGGTTCTAACGGTGAACGAACGGGTTCAAATTCGAGATGTCAATAGGTATCCCAACGGAGGACCCTTTGGGTCTAAGCTGGACGAAAGCAGCCGCTTCAAACTAACCTAAGCTAAGAGGTTTTTTAGAGATTTCTCACATCGCCTGTAAGCTTTCAGGTCTTTCTGTTTAATTTAGTGATATCCAATCTAGTGTAGCCGAGAAGAGCTTGGTTTGTCTACGGTCAACCACTGCCTCCAACTACTTACTGTATTCAAAATGAACCCACCTAATAATTATCGTTTTCGAGGAGAACCAACTCAGG